TTTTATTCATACTCGGAGGAGTAGCCAGAACTCAGACTAACCCGGCTTATTACCAGTTCGCGAGAACATGCAAAACGAAGGCTACACTTACAAACACACACACACACACATACACTTGCTAGCAAGCAAACCGACAAAACGAGCAAACATGTGCTGTAAAATTGTAAAAAGTTTCTGGTTGTGACCTATTGGGTTGTGTAACATCACTGATGACGGGAAGGAATTTGGTATTATGGTTTGATCACTGCCTGATAGGACCAAGAAGAACAGTATTGGTTTTTTAAGATTACCCTTAAGAGACAATTTTTTTTGCTAAAGGAGACTCAAAGCGATCGATGTTGGTTATCTGCTGACTAGGGGGAAAGGATTTTTTTCCACACGCAGACTTTTACTTGATCCTGCAATCCGGCACAGTAATTGACCCTGATCAAATAACCATTTTTCGTTCTACTGACAACGAAATCATCCAAGTGGCAATAGAAGAATAGCAGGAAAGAATTTTTTATCAAATATCATATGCACGAAGATGGGCCCGAAGAATAATCCTGTTGTGGAGGAGGAAATGCTTTCTCGATTCCTCAGGTCGCTTTGTCCCACAACAAACAATTTTTTCTGGTTCGTGTCCTCAAGTATTGCCAGTGCAATTATACTGCCAACAAATATTGTTAAATTCCCCGACTTCGGCGAATTGCAGACACCGTGAATACCACCAGGCGTCAATTTTTGGGTCAGCTAACGTCGTTCTGCAGGCCCACTCGTCGTATCATCGGTTGTCTCAAACTTGGGTAATATAACCTTTATCATACATAGGCACGCACGATACGAACGAATAAATGTCGCATATACATGGATATAAAATGCATTAAAGAATACTATAAGAAAAGATGAGCAGCGCCTCGTCGCTTCATCGTCCGTAGTTGTTGTCTGTTCGTCGTCGAAAATAGTTGGAACGATGATAAAAGCGGATTTCGGTATGCGTCGTCGGAACAACTGGACGTTTTTGGTCCGGCATCTTTTATTGTTGAGAGGAAAGTGCGGAAGGAGGGCATTACCGCGCGGAAGGAACTGAAGCATAAAAAAAAACGCAAACATCTAGATGTTTATCAAAAAAGAAGATAGCTAGAAAAATACAAATTTTATACAATTTATTGCACATCGAGATTTGGCAATTTCGACAAATCCTAAGAAAGTGGTGGTGAGAGCGAGTCCATGCTGGGCTGAAGAAAGAGATGGAGTTAAGGAGATATCTCCCTTCATAGAAAAAGCTCGCATGGCGAGTAAAATAAAGGGTGGAATTGACATCAGCTGTACAATGCGCTGAAATCTGCTCCACGTCGTAGTGAATTCGGAATAGTGCGAACTAGAGCATTATTATTAGTTGTTCCAGCACCACCATTCGAACCGTACCTGAATGAAGAAGTACCATCGTCGTTTAATGCCGACTGTTAAAGGCTTCCCGTTTCGACGGGGTTCTGTCGCCTTTTTTGCCTCCCCCACCTCTGCTTGCCTCGACATGCGTTGATCTTCTGTCATGGCTCTAATCCCCAATAATCGCCATGGCCAGAAACTTGGCGCTGGTCAAAAACCGTAGAGCGGGAATTTCTGCCCAGGCGAGCAAGATCAGAATTTTTCACACCTGCTGGCTATATAAGCCCGAGTTGCCGACACTCTCAGCGCTGTTGAAAGTCGTTTCGCCGCCGTCGTAGGTCTTGTCGTCATCGTCTTTCATGGCTTATCATCGAGTCTCGTCTTGGCCGAATTCCATTTGTTGTTGCCGCCGTCAGTTCTCTGCTGCACCCGGAGTGCTGAATTTTTACAG